CCCATTATGTCCGCCCCATTGTGTCCGCAGGCCCATTCTTTCTGCAACATGTCCTAACTGCAATTCAGTATCCTTTATAATGACATGGAACATACAGGTTCTACTCTATGAATGATTCATTTTCTGGCTGAATATTCAGGGTTCAGGGATGACAGTGACGGGCCAGTAACACAAGTGAAACTTATAATCGTTTTTGCAAAACTTCGTCAGTCTTTCGTGTACATTTGTTTGGTGTTCAAAAAAGAAGCAGACAGCATTTGCATTCTGCACGCTTATAGGGATCATCATAGAAATGTTTTAATAAAACCTTGAAATTGTACTTTAGGGTTTCAATCGAACTGGTGGAAATGTTTTGGCAATTTTAACCCATATTTTTGATTTTTTAAAGTTTTAATGCAATTTGCACATTCATAAGGAAACCTGTGATTGCACTGAAGGCAATCTCAATGTTGCAAATGCTCGGTCAATTTTAAATGTTTTTATCGTGTAACTCTTGCAACTCAAAAAGGATGTCAAACAGTCTTCATACATCAAAGAAGAGTGCAAAGATACAAAAAGTGCTTCCAAGTAAACCTCATTTCATGGATCCTTTAATTAAACGGAGACCCTTAGCTGACTAATAACGCTGAGATGAACCAATTTATGTTCAAACATTTTAAGAGTAATATGTTAACCGACACGTTTTATTGAGACTAAGAACAGTAATAAATCAAGGCTAATAGCAACGGAAACTTAGGTGCAAGTAATATTTGTGAGTGTACAAAAACATTTTTGAAAGTGAACAAATACGTAAAGAGTACATAGCATTCCAGAAAATGAAAAACAATAAACCCCAGAATATGTACACAAACTGCAATCGAATCAGACAGAATTTTCATTACATCGGTTATCAGCTTTTCAAACAAACTAACTCCAGAATCTGTGCTGACTATACACAACAGATGTAATAGGTTTCAGTTTTGTAAATTTAACCATTTTTCTTTATAGCCACACGAAAACATTGAAATCAGGAAGGTTAGTTATTTTTACTGTTCAAACCTCTCCAGCTCAGGACAACCAGACGCTAAAACCCAGGAATACTTCTTTTCCCTGCCTTCGTTTCGGATTTATAATTATGAAATTTTAAATATCAGTACTACTTCATATGTCAACACTTTCAACATTAAGAACATTCGCTAACCAGACAGGTTCGAATGAGACTAAAACTAGCAATGATTTACAGCCAATAATAAGGGAAAATGGTGGTGCAAATGACATTTTAATCCCAAAGAATAGTTCTGAAGTTAAAAATTCATAAAGTATACAATGTACTCAAAATGAAAGTACAGTTTGCAACCCCCGAATACGATTGCAAACTTGACGTGAAATTAATACTGAACCTTGATATGCTTCAACCTGCAACGGTAATTAACTTTGAAGAACACATTAAACAGAATCTGAACTAGCTTGACAGGTTTCAGTTTCTTTACTTTTACTACGGGTAACAACTAAATATATCCTGCGTTTTACATGTACTGCGCGAGCGTGAACCACGCGAACATGTATTGCTCCAACGGTCGATAATTTCCTGGCGCCTGCACCTGCACGCCGCGGTAACAACCCTCAGTATACTGGATCGGTTTGGGGCATATAAAACACGAACAGATCGCCCTACGCAGAAGTATCAAATATAACTCATTGAATTTGAACCAAAATATATAGCCGCATGTACATAGAAATGATTGTACCGTGTGGTTGAGATTCTGGCCCGTCGTATGCAGTGTCTCACTGTTTGGGGAGAACATCTAAAATTGAGAAATTTTGTGGAAAAAGATCAAGTGATTGATTGAAAATGGAAATAATTTATCATCTTAGCAACAGCGTTGAGGCTAAATTTCAAACTTATTTCGCGTTTCTTTTCGCAATCTGCAGTGTTTTATTCGATTTAAGCCTTCTAGGGCACATACAAAGAGTTTCAGTTCGTTTATTAACGTTGTGCAAGAAGTCTTCAAAACGAGAAGGCTCAACAGAGGATTGGCAAGTTGCTAAGGACATTTCCATACGGTTCACTAGGGTCCGGCCGTGGGTCAAGTAACCGTCTCCCACGATCGAAGTCGATAATTTCCACACGTCGAATGGGGGAGAAACATACGTGTAGGGCGACTTGTTACGCCCCTTCCCTATACACTCACACACACACAATTTTCCTGCAACTGGGGACCCCGTATTGTTCCTCTTTTGTTTTACTTCAATTCTTTTAAAAGACCACCCATATGTTTTGTGCACAATTTTTATTCGGGGACCCTATGTGAATCGGGGACCTTATTGTCCTCTATTGATCAGAGTCCCCAATTGAATGCAAAAACAAACTCACACTTTTTCTCATGAATTGCATCTGCTATCTACATGTCTGTACATTTCCATGAAGCCCACTACAAGGAATTATGCACAGTAATCCGCACAGAATCATTTTGACCCAGAATAAGTAAACTTATTGTTTCATTTATTTTTCATTAGGAACATGGCCCAACACAGAGCCGTTGTGGACGAATAACAGCATACATTTAAATACCTGCAAGGAATTTTATAAAAAGGAAAGCTTTTGAAAAAAGGAAAGATACCTGAGACTTTATTGATTAACAATCGCATCCTGCGGACACAATGGGGAGGACATAATGGGCCTGCGGACACAATGAGGCGGACATAATGGGCCTGCGGACATAATGGTCCGAAAAAAGTTTGCGGACACAATGGGCCATGCGGACATAATGGTCCGGAACACACGTTCATCAGGGAACGCGACACGGCACGACACGACACGACATCACCCCGTACTATCTGCCCGTGTCCCTAAAAGGCCCCCAAGGCCATTTTCACTGTAGGGCTTACCTTATGTTTTCAGTTGAACAACTCGTTATTCCGTTAAAACATTACACACTTCTGAGACTTCTTATTCAGCTGCTGGCTCTTTTTGTCATGTTTGTTTTGATTCATGATGTGCATCGAATGCATGCCATATGCTTTGCATGCTGTGGCACAGAGTTTTCCAGAATCCAAGATGGCGGCCTCCTGATCTTCTAAAAAACCTGAGCTGAATTTGTCTACAGTTTCTGTGTTTTATTTCTTGATTAGTCGACTTAAACATTGAAAATTGGAACCATAACATTAGAATCCTTTTTAAAATTAATTTCCACTTGTTTATGTATTAAAATTGTAATTTTGAAGGGCTACTATTGAGCAGTATTTATTTTCCCGAAGTTTTGGGGCACTTTCGTCTGCTTCTAGCCAGAAGGTCGTTCATGAATATTACTGTGATGACGTCATACTTTGTTTTCAATGGGACTTGGTGTAGTTTGCATTCGTTCATCGTCACACTCCTTGGAATATTTTATTGTAATTAAATGGAAACCGCTGAGCAAATTACTGCACTAAATGGAAAGTGATGGTCTTAAGGATTATTTTGGTACCTTTTTTAATGAACTAGGTCACAAATAACCTGACTTTCAATTAACGTAAGTCTTGGACTAGGTGTTTCTATTGTTTAGTTTCATTCATGCTCAACTTCTGGGCGTGGCCTTTTTTACTACGTGTGTAATTTGTCAGCACGTAAGGCGTGCATTTCAAAGGTATAAAAAGAGGCGAATTTTGGTCACTCGGTCACTTATACATGGTCACTTATACATGGACAAA